CAAAAATATTTGCAGCATCATGTTGTCATGCGGTTTTTATTTATCAACAAAATCTTTGAAACATTTTGCAGGGCCACCTACTTTGTTAAATATTTATTTATTTGTTTAAATGGTAGGTGTTTTGATAGCTATCGTTAGTCCTTTAGCTGAATTCGGGCTTCATAGAGAGGAGAAAGTGACAAAAAGACGAGAGGGGGACAGAATAATGATTCACAGATTTAAAGGAGACAGGCAGATACAAAGGCAGAGAAAAGGGGAGATAAGAACCGTGGAAGGGGTCGAATTTGCCATACAGTGGGGGGTGATGGCAGTTTGAAGTCAGAAGTCAACTGCCGAATAATAGACTTTTTTGCCTAGGTTGCACCACATGGTGGAAAGTCTTTCATGCACACAAGTAAAACAATATTGAATCAATATGCTCTTAGTTTTAATTCCTAACGCTGAATCCTTGCTTAGACTTGGGAATACTGACATTTGATTAAGGTAAATCGCGCGCTTTGCTTCGCCTATCGCTGACGTTCAGAAATTATGTGCATATCTCCGGGCATCGTTCGAGAAATAGTGCAAACCTCATTTGTCATTAATTCATATCACTCTCTTGCCCTATGGAGACTGTTAGCTCGCTCGATTGGGAACATAATCTGAACTTTGTCATTATGCATCAGTTCTGTGTGTAGTTGTAATTGGATCATAGTCTATTCAAACCACACAACATTTCAGAATACTAACACCTGTTCAGAAAAGTGTTTTATATTTCATCTTGACTATCAAATTGGTACCACGGAGCCACTTCGAAGAGAATCACGCATTACACGTTCTTTATAAGTCAGACCTGACCAGTGCATCTGATCCTTCTCTTCACTAGTTGTGTGAACTAATGAGAATCGAATCTATGACCTTTAACTCCGCAGATATACATATGAAGCGGTGCGTTGCAGGAGGATATCATGCATAGCCAGAGATTTCAATTGAAGGAGTTTTTTTATGACATCAACAGTACAACATGAAGGTGGTGTTTCATTAAATTAACTGAGTTCCCATAACTCCTTGAGAGATGCGAAGATGGGACATTGAGGATTTATTTTAATCTGCTGCATTGATATTCAATAGCTCCATGTTTTCGGCTATTTGTGAGAGTTGATTCCGTTGAAGCTAAACTAAGCGGTGGAAAATTGGACAGGCTGAGGGATTTCCAAGAAGAGAACGCTATATTCGTTACCATCAACGTATTTCATGAACTAATTTTAATAAGTACATAGGGAGAAACATTCGGTCAATAGAGAGGCCACTCCTATCTCTTTCAATTTTATATCTGCTGGTTGCCAGATATACATCCTTTATCACAAATATGCAGCAACAAAAATGCAGCGTATACAAAACTTCTTTCTTGAAAAAAAAGGGGGAGAGGGTGAATGGGTGGAAGGGAAAATGTCGAAACTACAAGACAAACCATTGCCACATGATTGCCTTTAATACTTGAGCACTATCAAAACCTGCAAATGACTTTGATAAGTACCCATTGAGGTAGAAGAATGACACATCTGAATTTGATAGGGCTGTACTGTGTGCAACCACCAATAACTTTGCTGCTGTGGAATTGGAGAAATGACCCACTTCAGAATAACTTGACAGAACGTAGGCCATCATGAGGAGACGGAAGGAGTTCTAGTGCTAGGATGTTTACTTCCTATTTCTCCCCTATTGATGCTTTCTTTTTTCATAATAAAACCCTTGTTCAGACCACGCCTCTAGCACGTGTCTTGTTATCGCAATTTCTCATTTGCCACAGTTTAAAATGCCCTCGAAAATCATGAGTACGGGGTCCTTACTAGCAAATTTCTCCATTTTGCACTCCATCAAACAGTTAATGTGAGTGAAACAATTGACCATGCATACTCTAAAATTGGTAGTTAAGCATTCTATCTTACTCTTTACTCCATCTCATTCTTGCCTCTAATTCAAATTGTAGTTATTCCCAAAGGGTTTTTCTACAGTTTATGCCATGTGGTGGTCTTTAATGATCCACATACAATATTTCCCTCTCTATTAAAAGATATCTTCAATGTTCTTTTAATGTGTACACCACTTAAAGACCTACTTTAACATCTGTGGTTTATCAACTGGTGGTTAGGTAGTGCTTAAATGAGCGAATGCGTCGTAATTTGAGATCGCATTTTTGGGAGTTCCTTTCGAGGGAAAATGCCATTAAATGGTGCGCGAGAAATACATTCACTAGCACTATATCTCTCTGTTTAACTTTTAGATGAATTTGAATTCTTATTTCCAATCTCTTTATCTACTTATATCGAGTTTAAGTAGCATAGCCTTATCTGTTGTTTTCGTTTAATTCGCTAATTTATCTCCACTCCTCATTCACTTGAGCCAAGAGAGAGAGAGGCATCATAAAGATATGCTTGACTATTCCAAAGAATTAAAAAGTATATAAAATCAAATGCCCAATAAAGTTAAATGACCTATAAGATTCGATAAATTGAAGTGCTGAATGAAATAATAGTTGCTTATAATTAATGCAAGAAAGAACCCAGGCTTTCCAAAACTGAAGTACTTTTGATATCATTATTAAACGGCATATCAGCAATTTCGATGTTCACCAATTTACACCCAGAGAGCTGAATGACCGACCATGTTGATTAAGTCTCGTCAATGGAGGGAGCGGCAGATTTTGAAGTTATCACCAGGGCCACATCGAGATTTTGGGATCTGTCTTGCAGAGATCAAACTCACAAACATATACCACTCTTAAAGATATCGCATATTGAATGGCACATTCATTAAATTAAGAGATATGAACAAAAAATATTGGGCGATGTAACACTATATAGTGTTCTTATAAATGAGCTTGCAAGGTTAAGAAAGCCTCAAATCACACTACTTACCTCTAAATAGGACAGATTAAATTAATAAATTTTGTTATTTTAGCGCTGACAATTTCACGCCTTTTCTTTCATGCCTGAAAGTATTCAACTGCGTTACTCGACATACACGACTAAAGCACTTTCCCCACAATTTCGCAAAAAAATTTCACACTAAAAACACCGGCCTATGTGAATGTTTACCTAAAATACAAAAAAATCCATGGATTCAACTAACCAATAAGGATCCTAAATTAAACCATTGCACACACCTCCATGAGACTAACGGCTAAATATACAAACCTGTAAAGATCACCGAACAAAAGAAAAACAGCATAGAACTGAAACGATTCTACAAATTTTGTTTGATAACCGCTCAAAGTGTACCGCACTCACATAAAACCAGGTAACAATCAAACTATAACAAATTCGAAGAACTCCCCAATAGTTATGGTGAATTTAACGAAAAATGCCAATCATTAGACCTTAATTTTTTCTTTGAAAGAGTTACTAACACACATAGACAAAGCCAACCTGCCACTGGACAAGACAGGTAATAATGATGATACGAAAGAGGGAGTGGGTGGGTGCAAAAGCGACCAAGAAATACGGAGGAGTTAATGAAATTGGGAAAATATCAAGAGACAAGGTGAAAGGAATTCCTCTATTCGCCAATTTGCTGCGAAGAAGGGTTCTCAGCGAAAGAGAAGTGCAATCGCACCAAAATTGGGCGAGGGTGGGGAGACATGATAAGTCGCAGAGGAGGTAGGTTGAAAGTGTGACTAAGAAATAGAGCTCAAAGAGAGGGAGAGAGAGAGGCATTAAGAAATCAATAAATACACGGACGCACGCCCCTAGTACTATGGTATAAGTGAAAAAAGGACAGGCGAACGAGTAAATGCACATTCAGGAGGCCGCTACGCTCTCTTAACTCTCTTCCAAATACTTCGCTCCTAATCAGGATGATGTGGTAGGGGGTAGATTGGTAGACGATGTTGGAACATTCACTGTACTTGTGGACTCCGCTGCTATAGGTGTTGGCTTACTGTTTACAGCGTTATTGGACACCGCACCAGCCACGTTTAGAGGTTCAGGCTTAGCTACTGCAATTTGATGCTGCATTAAAACACCATTAGGCATCACTTTCCCACCAGGTACTCCTGGAACTTGGGCTCGTGAAGGTCGGGAATTTAGCTGTCCAAAGTAGAGCTGTTGGTTCGTATTACCTATCAGATGGGGCTGCTGAGGGGGCATCGGAGCTGAGAATTGTATTTTTGCGTTTAGAGTTTGAGAGGAAAGTTGATACGTGGCTGGAGTTTCGTCTAAATCCGAGTAGTTCAATGTTGTGGAAATAAGAACTCGAGAGGCATCCTGAGGTTCATAGACGTAGTAAGTGCCGGTCTCAGTGAGACCCTCTCGAATTACTTCCGATCCTTGGGCACGTGTTAACCACCGTAGCTTCTTTTTATGATACCTCCAGTCTCGATCATATCTGTGAATTTGAACATATGTAAATCAGCTTTCAAAAAATATTTAGAGGCAAAAGCATAACAAAAGGATAAACTAACAATTCCTTCGCAGCCACTAACTGAAGTTCCTCCTTGCAGAAGTTGTAAAAGATATAAAAGAGTGTATTATCATCCAACAACTCAAGTGGAGGATCTGGCGATAATTTTGTATTCGACCTGAACCGAATTCGATATTCTGGCGGCACAGGATAATCTAGATCATGGGGTGGTATCACACAGGTATCATTTAACGGCGATCCAAACACCTTATGAAGTTCTCTAAGAAAAATCAAAAGCCAAATGAGACAGAAAACAAGTAAAGCAACGTTAAGAGATTAACACTAACCCTGGAAGAGAGCAGTTACTGAGTCCAAGAGCTGGTAGTTTTATTCCAGGTGCCAGTGTATCGAAGTAGGGTTCAATTTGAATTAGCTTCATCAGACCAATCATCCCAAATTGATTATCAATCATGTCTGGAGGAATGTTGGCAACAACATTCTCATTCAGAAATTGCAAAACGGATTCATGATCGGAGGTATTTTCACTCCCTGGAGGCACACGAGTGCTTTGCGAGCGCGGAACCCGTTGACCAGCTTGAGATTGCTTCAAAAGTGATTCTCCAGTAGCCATATTCAAGGATTGACTAGAAGAACTCACTGGGGGAGGTGCTAAGGAACTAGTTATTGAAGTTGGATTTGTCGCCTGAGTTCCCGGTAATGCAGGAAAATCTCGATCGATCGAGAATTCAGGAGAGGATTGGAGGTTTGAATTTGGATTTCCACAAGTGACAGGGGTTGAGGCAATATTACTAGGGTTTTTCGATATTGCAGACACGTAGTTACGGCTTTGCGATAGAGCAGGAAAGTTCTGACTTTGTGAGGGATTCGCAGTATTAAGAATCGGAGGAAAATCTGACGGATCAAATGTCAGACCAGGTGATGTAACACCCTGAATATTAGAAGAATTATTGATAGATCCTCCACTACTCAGCAAACCCAGAGTACTACTCGATGGCTTGTTTATCGGTGTAAACGATGATTTGGTATTAAGGTTGAGGTTGGACATTAGAGATGTGAGATCGGAATTTGTGTTCATAAACAAAGATGGATCTGAAAGCCCCCTAGAAGAAGAGCCGGGAAAGTTTGTGCCACTTCCGAAGTTTGGAAGGCCTAATGAATTGCTATCGGCACCAGATTCCTGATTGTAATTACTCCGCATATTATTTCCGATAGAATTTTGCACTTTTAGTCGGGAAGATGACGAAGGACGAGGATTATAATTCAAATTTAGATTTGTATTTAGGCCAACCAGAGTTGAAGCACTGTTCGAATTACTTAGTAGCGACTAATAAAAATAGTCAATATTAATCATGAACCAGGGAATATTTAAGTGTTAAGAATATTAGTTACTCTTTTGTCAGATGTTGCCTGGAAGGAAGAATTCTTTTGCACGTCACTATGTAGATTCCGACCCATTCCCAATCTAAAATAACATTTATGTAGGGAAATTTAGAAACCTACTGAGCCGCACTATTCCACGAAGAGGGATGTTCAAATGTGTTGCGTCTTCAAAGAAAAGTCAGATAAAATACACGAATACTTACTGTCCAATACCGGCCATACGATGTTAACATGTGACAAAAATATCTTTGCGTTGAATGATACTTCTCAAATAACAACGATGGTCTGCTGAGAAAAGCTTCTAAAAATTAAAAAAAACACAGAAAACAGCATATCAACAGCTTTAACAGAAATTCGAAAACAAACAGAGAACATCCATACCAATAGGAACCGCGCACCTACCTCTAAAATAGTTAATGCACCATTGTTTAAGTCCTTCCATAGTCAATAACATTATCACAGAAGCCATTCCGAGATATAATTTGACTTCATAGACAATTTAGACAAGAAGAATAAAAATTATTTTTTAAATAATTATTTAATAATTGAATATCTGATTTATCTTATATACCGCCATCTAAATAAGAACATTAGATATAGCGCTCTTTAGATAGCAGCAGGATTATTTTCTAAAAAACCACATATTTTAAAGCAAATGTGTGCGTAATAACCATTCTTCCAAAACATTTTCAGACACTACTTTTAACAGATTTGAATTTTGGAAAAAAACATTCCATAAGATTTTCTCAAAACAAAAATTAACTATGGGAAAAAGCAAGGATCAACCTGTTCAATAATGCTATCTGATTTTGTTAGTTATGACATTTAATCACACTTAAAAATCTTAATAATTCAAATTAAGTCATTTTAGTAATATTTCTCAGCCGACCTCTTAGGCCATTTTAAACGACGAATGCGCTTTACCACTGAGTTCGGAATCATATGTTGTATTATCAAAAGTTTCCTATCTTTAATTCGTCTTGTAAACGAAGATTAAGTTCTGCATTCACTCAAAATAATTTTACTGGCTGATGCGCGCAGTTTAATAGGTTTTTTATTAGTACAAAGTATGGGTGTGCAATAGACTTAACTCCACGTGGTACACCCTGGGCAACGTATATTCATACGGCAAAAAAGTCTATTAACTGGCAATTGACTTCTCACTTCAAACTACCACCACCTCACTCTATGCCATATCGACTATTTCAACAGTACTCTTCTTACCTTTGTTCTACCTTTGTGTTTGTCTCTTACATCTTTGAAACGCCCTTCTGTTCCTCTTCTCTCGTCTTTTTTCAATTTGATGTTCCTTCTCCTCTGTAAAGTCTGAAGTGAACTAAAGGGCTAATGATAAACATCAAGACGCCTGCCATATGATATAAATAAATAAATAT